GGGGGGGTGGTGTCAAAGAGGGGGGGGAAGGGGGCGATCATGGGGGGGGAATCGGTCGTTGGGGAGGGGAGACGAGGAAGGAGGGGGAGATTGGGGTGACAATGAGTGGTGTGTGGTATCTGTTAAGTCGGTGTCCGTAGAAAGACGATGAGGATGGTTGTCGGTTGTGGTAGGGCCAGGGATTCAGGGAAAAGATTGTATGCTGGGAGAGGTGGCGCAAAGGTACACACCAATCTCCAGTTCAGCAATGTTCGTTTTTTCTGCCAGTGTTTCCATGTGTGTTTGTAGTTGGTGTCCACATCTCCCATTTTTCTACCCATGTCCAGCCAGGTTTGTTTCAGAGATGTTACTTACTCTTCTTCTTGTTGTTGTCTTTGATCTGAAAGTGATTTCAATTTATGTCATGCCCCAGCTCCGGCGGGCGTCGTTCTCAGGCATCGGCTAACCCCCAGCCCACAGAACATAAACATCACAGCTCCGTCTGTCTTCAGACGGAGCTTCTGCCGCCCCTGAAATCCTGGATCCAGTTTCTGTACAAGCCTAGAGTAAACCATGATTAACGATGAATACTGATGGTTTTTTTTTTTGGGGAACTGTGAACAACACCGAACCCTACTTCTATCCAACCCTTGTTGTTGGTTCAGGGACTGTGGACCCGCTTTCCAGCAGGTGCTGCTCCCCACCAATACATGGAGCCTCCCCGGCAGTGCCAGTGGTGCCTGCTCGTATCAGCACCCCTAGCATCCGCTCGGGTTGTTCCCTTTCAAAAGATTCTGAAGGAAGTGTGCGCAGTGTTGTTGGAGGAAAAAGTATTCTCTCTCTTTTTGCCCAAGCTATAAATAATATAAAAAAAAAGATAATCATCGCCATTTTTTTTAATGAAAAGATTTAAGCATCAGGAAAAGGCAGTAATTGAAGTGCACGGATGATGAGAATAGGACAACCTTCGACAAAGAAAAACAAAAAAAAAGATTTTTTTTTATTTTTTTTTAAACGAAAAAAAACAACAGTGGCATCAAGAGAGTTGACTTTCTCTGAAACGAAAGCTCGCAGACTCTTACTCCCTCGGCAAGCAATTGGTCATTCTGATCCTTCTTCTTTTTTTTCACTTTATAGCTGAACAGTCGTGTACTAAGCCTTTTTTTTTTTCTTTTTTTTTTTTAGCACCTGGGGGGCTCCGTCTATTGGTGGGGAGCATCACCTGCTGGAAAGCGGGTCCAGCGTCCCATATACACAATGAATGAAATCATACCAAGAAAGGTCTGCAGAGGGTTCCTGCCAGCATTGATTACCCTGGCACCCAGGGGATTAACTAAGCCTGAAGTTATAACTGGTAATTCATTGAATTTCGTTCTCTACATTCTGATGCTGCCATGTGCGCAGTACATACGGCTAGATACATTATAATTCGTAATTCATTGAATTTCGTTCTCTAAGTTCTGATTCTGTCATGTGTGCAGTAGATACGACTAGATACATTACATCAAGCTTGAGGAACCCTGAAGGACCAACACCCTATATCCTACCTGCTGTTGAAATTAGATCTGAGAAGAAGGAACTATCCGGACCATTTTTTCGGAAGGGCCCTGAGAAGCTTCGTCAGGGACAAGAGCCCCCTCCCTGTGGAAGTTGCTGGCTGAAATGTTGGGAGGAGGGCGGAACAAGAGAACCTTGATGAGGAACTAGGGGAGTACGTAGTTTCGGTGTCGTGATCAGATGTGGGTTAGAATTTCTTGCTGAATGTATGGGCTTGTAATTGTAATTGTGCCTTTTCGAATGGAAATCGTAGTAGGATGGATAGGGGACCTGGGACGATTCCCGCCTGTAGCAAAGATAGCCTGTTGTGGAAGTTGTGGTTCACTCGCTGGAGTTCAGACGTAGGCTGCGTAGGGATAGAACCTGGCCGTGGGTGCTGTGCCTTTTCGTGACAGTATGGACATCATTTTTAAAGGACAGGTCAGTCAGCCCAGGGCCCGGTCTGTTTTTTCACCTGACAGGGCGTTTCAAGTAGGGTCTGGGTCAGAACCAGAGACTGTCGGTAGCTGTGTTAGCATGTTTGTTTTGTTGACGACAGGTCTGTGTGGTAGACACATGGGTCGCTTGCCTGCTCTTTCGGACCGGGCCTGGGATCTTGTCATTTTTGTTAGGAATATTAACCGGCTAATGGTCGGTTGGACTCCTCTTCGGTGCTCACGCCGAAAGGAGTCAGCAGCGCTTGTTGCGTGACTCGTCGGGTTTGACGGGAAGATCGGTGGTTCCTGGGTGCGGTGGACTGTTGTTGGTGGCGTTTTGCGCATTTTGCGCTAGTCTTACGGCATTTTCTGAGCCGAGATTACTCAATTGCTGTGCATGTTTTCAAGCGTCGTGTGTCACTTCTTGCTTCTTGGCTATACGCCTACAGGAAGGAACGGCAAGCAATTTGTGGAAACCGAAATCCGAGTTCGTTGGAAGAACACCAAGAGAATAAGCTCAAAGCTTTTCATCAAAAGCCAGAGATCAAAAAAATCCTCTCACAATTTCAGAAGGACTGGCTTGGGGAGTCAGAGGGCAGGAAATTTGGGAAAGTGGAATGGGCTGGGGAAAATGGTTCTGAAATGCCACTCAAACTAGATTACAAAGTGGTGTTCCAATCGGCGATCGCTGGTGGGATTTGAGGCCTGATGATACATTAAAAGATGCTCGTGATTTTCCAGAGTTCTTGCCTCCTTCAGAGCTTGCGTTGGTAGACCTTAAGTGGTTTGGGAGAGAGGAGGAAAAAAGAGCTATAAGAATGAAACACAGTTTCTTGGCTGTATTCACTTCTCAGAATAGCAGAACGCGAGTAAACTACAAACCGTCAGAATGCTAGTAAACTAACAAACTGGTGATCAAGTGTTTTTCGGATTGGGGACCTGATGATATTTAAAATTCCTCACTCCTGCAGAGCTTGAGTTGATAGTCCTTAAGGGGTTTGGGAGGGAGGAGGAATAGAATAAGTGCTATGAGCAACCAGTATATTAACTGTACTTATTTTCCAGAGTGGTGGAAGGCTAGTAAAAGAAATTAAGGGTGGATCAGGCGGTTCTCATAGAACTGAAGAGGCAGACCTCTGCTCATTGGTTTCATGATTTATATTCCTAAACAAACAGAGTAGTCATTGTCCTAAGGACGCTGGAGCCGATTTCCACCAGGTGATGCTCCCCACCAATAGACTGGAGTTTTTTCTTTCCTAAAAAAAAAAAAAAAAAAAAAAAAAAAAACAAACCGGAAAGGAAGAAATGGAACACCTTGAAAAAGGGGTTGAATGGCGTGATTTGTGCCCCATTATAGAAGACGTACAAAGTTTTGTGAAGTGGGTGACCTTAGTGAACACCTCTGCACCTTCCCCTCCCCTCTGCCCTGACCACCTCCCCGCCCACCCTCCCTTCTACCACAAGACAACCCTATCCTGTTTTATACTACTGTGAAAAGGGAGGACGGAGACTGTGTTTCTCAAGATTTAATGATTCGAACTGATACGGAAAATGGTGAGCCGTGGAGATTCATTGGGTGCTGTTTTTCTCCATCAATTGTTGTTGCCAATGACAGAAATACATCAACGATCCAACAGTATTCAGCTGGCAGCTTTTGAATGAGCCTCGCTGCCCCAGTGACAAGACCGGAGCTACTTTACTGTCATGGATAAGTGAAATGGCTACTTTTGTGAAAAGCCTAGACGGGTAAGTCTCTCTCTCTCTCTCTCTCTCTCTCTCTCTCTCTCTCTCTCTCTCTCTCTCTCTCTGTGTGTGTGTGTGTGTGTGTGTGTGTGTGTGTGTGTGTGTGTGTGTGTGTGTTGTTCAACTTGTCTGTATGTAAGTTGCAGTCCCGTTGTCAATCTATCTGCAGGGGACCTTTGTTTTTATATTGTACGGAACCTCAGGACAGTACCCACGAGCAAGTTGTGGTAGCAACTTGAAGTGATTATCATACAGTACGAAAGTCAGGATAGTACCGAACCTTAGCTATGGTACTTGCTTAGCAAATTAGGTCAGCCTGGTTAGAAAGGCCAAGTAGAGCAGCCCTTTGTACCCATGTTAATGGGCTAACTAGGGTGTTTTTTTCCGGGCGCCCAGGCACCCAACTCGTCCCCGGATACAGGGCCGGGTGTCCGGCCGAGAGTGAAGCCCGGGCAGGGTTCCAGGGCAGCCTCAGCGCCAAAACAAAGAGGAAAAAAAAGGGGAAAAAAAAAAGAAAAGGAAGATTTTTTGTAGAATTGCAATACAAATGACTGTTGGCTGAGGGTCACATCCGAATAGCTCACAGAATGGAAGATAAAAAAAGAAAACAACAAAATTTGAGTAAGGTACCCCCTTTTAAACCCCTTTTTTAACCCCTTAAAATCAATTTATACTCCCCCCCTCTCCCCCCCCCCTGGACAGCCAACACTCGCAAAGAGAAAGGAGCCCACCCACGGATTTGGGCTCCTCTGCGCATGCGCGGAAAATCCTCACCCCAAAAAAACACACACAAAAAAAAAGGGGATGATTTTTGCCTGCACGGGGTGCTGCCCTGTGCAGGTGATGCCAGGGCGACTTGCCCGGGTTGCACGGTGTCCGGGCAAGCCAAGTAGCCTAGTGAGCTAAGTGTTTTTTTTTTTTTTCTTTTTCCCACAAATGGCATGCAGTTACTATACTCTGCACTGTGCAGTGCGCTATGGTGCAAGTTGCGGTCATATACATCCAGGAAGGTCCTCTTGCAAATTTGCCCTTAGATCCGGGGATCGAACTCATGATCTCATATTTCAATTCACAAGTATTACATAAATCCTTTCTATTTTATTCACAGTACATGTTTGTGTAGCATTCAGCCACTGCACAACAGGCTAGGTTGGTCGCATTTTGTTGTCGTTGGGAGAGGTGTGTGCATTCTTCTTACCATGTGTGAATGATGATTTTGGCCTCCCTGAGTCTCCGGCCTCTTTAAACTTTAATTCGCTCTCTTTAAACTTTAAAGTTTAAAACCACTCTCCGAGTCTCTGGCCTTCATTCGCTCTCTTTAAACTTTGAAGTTTGAAGTTCAAAATCACTCTCTGAGTCTCCGGCCTTCATTCAGTTCCTAGTGTTTATAAGTTTCGGCCTCCCTGAACCGGTACGGTATTTGTTAGATAATATTCATTAGATTTCATCATTTCACATCGTTTCAGCAAATCATTTTTACTTATCGTGGTGATTTTTTTTGTTTTTGTTTCTTTGTATGTGTGCACAGCAACCACATGGTTTCTATTGGCAGTGAGGGTTTCTATAGCCTCTCTCTCCCACAGCGGATCTTCGCCAACTGTGGACCTGGATGGCCTACAGAGCTGGGAAATGACTTTATTGCTGAGCATCGCCTCAAAACTGTGGATTTCATGACTGTGCATACATATGGGCAGCTCTGGTGAGTGATCAATAATGAAAAAAAGGATTTATGTTTCTCCTGATTTTCTGTGGGAAGAATTGAATTCTTTCTTCCTCCGTCAAAAAGAGGAAAATAAAATCTCACCCTGTCTCAAGGCTCTCAACGACATGGCTTTCTGTTTGGAAACGACAACAACAACAACATGGCCTTTGTGGAAGTTGCACTCACTGGCACGGAGGAGGGCTTACGCTCTGACATACTGATCTAACACTACTGTGGAAAGCACCAGTTAACCTGCGGCAATCTGGTAAACGCCGTGGTGGGCGGGCAAAGTAGCAGGGGGGGTGCACGTGCTGATTGGAGCGAACTGTGCGAGAATTGCCACATCCATGGGTGGTGAGTGTGGTGTGTGTTGAGTCGGACGGGTATCAGTATGATCTCGCTTTTGGAACACCGTGTCCTGGTCCTGGTTGTAGTGGTTAAGAGACTTCACTCTTGGGGCCGAGGTCCCCGGTTCGAATCCGTGCTTGCACATAGAGGTGTAATGAACCCAGTCTGGAGGATACTCGTCAAGTGTCGAAGTACAAGATAACTCAGCACTGAATAATGTCTCCAATAATCATGTAATGTGATCGGTGAAACAATGTCTCGTAATCAGTGGACGGAGGAGAGGTTGGGGAGAAGAGACTTAGAGGGTGGACGAATAAGTATCCATCAATGACCACATAGATAGTAGCCCCTCATTTCCCTCTCCTTCTCCGGTCCTTCTCCGGGCCTCCCCTCGCCTCCACATCAGCAAACAGTGTCCAAGAAACAAGCCTGACAGAGTCTGATCACATCAAAGTCCCCCGTGGCACAGTTCTCCCGTGAAGACATCGCAGCAGCGTGCAGTATCGACATCAGCAACAGGTAAGTATCCTCTCTCTCTCTCAGTCAATCCACAGAGATCCCGATCTCCCGCCTTGTCACGTCCAACTCCGCAATGAAGACAGTGTGGCAATGCCACGTCAGCAATGCAGACGGAGTGGCATGCGCCAGGTCGGCAATGTCGAAGACAGCGTGGCATGCGCCACATTAGCAAGCCAGAAGACAGCTGGTACCAAAGCAGAAAGGCGCCAGCGCGCATGCAGCAGTCTCACGTCGTCGTCGCACAGTGCCAGCGTGCAGCCAGCGTCAAGCCAGCGGCGCACCGGCGTCCCAGCCAGCGTCAAGTCAGCAAGGCAAGACTGAATGTCTACTCCCAGAGTCAGGGGCCTTAAGTAGTGTTGACGAGGTTGACCTGCCTCTGGTCTCTCACCCACGGTGGCTCAGATTGACTCACAGCCGACGGCCTGGATCTCGTACAGTTACAGACTTCCACTTGGTCCGGATGCTGTCTGGATACCTGCATAGAAACAAGTGTGTGTGTCTGACCGGCGGCCTGGGCTGGGTCCATGCGGACTTTGACTGGAGGGCCTCGTACAGTTGACTTTCGGTCAACTGTCGGGCGCAGGGCCACTGAATTCAACACTTGGGGTCCTGCCTCTTGGCAATGCGGCCTAGGGCCCACATCGGCCCTGCGGGAGGCCCTCAGACAGTCAACGAGGCATATTGAACCGGGTTATTGCAGAGGGCTTAGACTCTGATGTATGGATGTATCACCACTGCAATCACTGGCATAGCATTATGCATGGCCGAATGCTCTCAGGGGCATCGTACTTCGTACTAGGATCTTTGGACCTAATTGTGGTCAGATACATCCACGGCCGGCCGCAATTGCAGTCAGAAACATCCACAGCTGTGGTCCTCGACTGAGTACGGTCTGGGTGCTACACTTCATGGCGGTTGTGCAAAATCCGAACGACAAATATGGACTTCAAGAAACCATGGAAAAAAAATAGAAATAAAAACAAAAAATCGGTGAAGAGAATCCAGCACCATGATCATAATCATCAATGGCTACAAAGCAAGATGTAACAGTGACACGTATTGGTAAAGAAATTAAACCAGTACTACCAATGTGAAAGTCTGAACGTGCTGAACGCGCGTTCAAACGCGCTGAGCGGCACGTGGCGCGAATTTATCGAACGCGACCCACCCAACAATGTGAGCACATGGCGGACTACGGGTGGGGGAATTGTTTCTTCAAAAAAAAAAAAAAAGAAGAAGAGTGGCAGTGTATATCTCCATGTTCTAGCGGACTGGGTAGATTCAGCCAATATTGCTCATCAGATCGATGGAAGTACCATGACGTTGGCTGCGCGGTTGGAGACTTACCTGCTCTTCTCTCTCTCTCTCTCTCTCTCTCTCTCTCTCTCTCTCTCTCTCTCTCTCTCTCTCTCTCT